CACAAATACACATAAACTGCAAAAAAAATGTTCTGGCCAGGCGCGGTGGCTCACGCCTGTAATCCCAGCACTTTTGGGAGGCCGAGGCGGGCGGATCACGAGGTCAGCAGATTGAGACTATCGTGGCTAACACAGTGAAACCCCGTCTCTACTAAAAATACAAAAAAATTAGCCAGGCGTGGTGGCAGGCACCTGTAGTCCCAGCTACTCTGAAGGCTGAGGCAGGAGAATGGTGTGAACCCGGGAGGCGGAGCTTGCAGTGAGCCAAGGAGTGAGCCACTGCACTCCTGCCTGGGTGACAGAGTGAGACTCTGTCTCAAAAAATAAAAATAAATTTTAAAAAAATGTTCTATCCAGTTACCTTGACAAAAGTACCTTTTTTTTTTTTTTTCACTCTTGTTGCCTAGCCTGGTGTGCAATGGTGCTATCTTGGCTCACAGCAACCTCTGCCTCCCAGGTTCAAGTGATTCTCTTGCCTTAGCCTCCCAAGTAGCTGGGATCATAGGCATGCACCACCATGCCCAGCAAATTTTGTATTTTTAGTAGAGATGGGGTTTCTCCATGTTGGTCAAGCTGGTCTCAAACTCCTGATCTCAGGTGATTCGCCCACCTCGGCCTCTCAAAGTGCTGGGATTACAGGCATGAGCCATCATGCCCGGCCAACATAAGTAACTTCTTAATGACTTTGAAGACCAGGTTTAGATGGTAAATTATTAAATTATTGGAAATCTGCTGCAGAATACGGCATTGTGGGGACAGCCGAGCTGATTGGAACCTGCTCCCTTTCTCTTCCCACCCCCAGCTCCATCCTGCACCTTAGGGGTCTATGCACACCTGTGTGGACATCCCACCCTCACATCCAACCTCTATTCACATTCCCCGCCACCATCTTGTGTGGCCACTCAGCCTGCTCTAAAGCAGGGATGCTGGGAAGATGCCCACATCTAAGCTTGCAATCGTTTTTGCCAGAAATCGGGGGCCCCAAGTACCCAGAAAATGTTCTAGAAAGGGACATGTGTGGGTGGCCATGGATTCCTTCCTCCCTAGGGAAGAGCACAGTTGGAGGACTGGAGCAGGGCCCCCTAAAGCCTGGAGGAGGACTGGAGCCAGGCCCCCTAAAGCCTGGAGGAGGACTGGAGCAGGGCCCCCTAAAGCACTGGACCCAAGATAGCGCCCCTCTTGCCCAGGTCCAAGGGCTGTACTAGTGGTATCCGCTGTCATCATAGCATTCATTACTGATGAATTTGATTGTGATGTTGGAATCCTCTAGTCATAAGGTCTTGCGAGCAAGACAGTAAGACATTTTGGTGGTTTTGACTCTTCACTGGGGGGATCTGAGATGTTGGATTTGAGGCTTGGAATAAAGTCATCTTGGGTGCATATGGCAACTGCAGGCTGCTTTCCCAGAAGCTCAGCATGCAGCCTCAAGAAACATGTCCCTCCACGCTGCTCTTGCCAGACCTGCACCTGCTGACCTAAGAAGGGAATGCAGGTGGCTAAGAGAGGCAGTGCATGCAGGGGTCAGAGCACCTGTGGCCAAATCCCACTCTGTCAGTGACAGACTGCATCCCCCCGGCAAGTTACTCCCAGACCCAAACCAGCTCTCTCAATGGCAAAATGGAAATGATGGAATCGTAAAGACTAGGTAGTAATGGTACCTGCCTCATACAATTTGAGTGGTTTATAGGAGGAAATCCGCATAAAGGCTTGGTCCAGCATCTCATACAGAGAATGCCTCTAATACACATGAACTATGAGCAGAACCAAGAGCACAGGCTTTGGAGTCCAATAGCCACAAGTCTTTTCGGGCTCAGTTGCTTCCTGTAATCTACCTACTTTCTCTGAGCCTCAGTTTCCTTATCTACAAAACTGGGATGATAGTGGTTCTTACCTGGAGTTGTAAGGATGCGTACATAGACCTCAGGTTTGTGGGGTAGCTAGTGTGGCAAACCATTTGCTTGCTCTTTCAACCAATACCTATGCTGGCTGTCCCACTGCTATGTGCCGGGTATGGTTCTTTTTTTTTTTTTTTTTTTTTTTTTGAGACAGAGTCTCGCTCTGTCACCCAGGCTGGAGTGCAGTGGCACAATCTCGGCTCACTGCAACCTCCGCTCAAGCAATTCTCCTGCCTCAGCCTCCTGAGGAGCTGGGATTACAGGCATGAGCCACCACACCCAGCTAATTTTTGTATTTTTACTAGAGATGGGGTTTCACCATGTTGGCCAGGATGGTCTCAATCTCCTGACTTCATGATCCGCCTGCCTCAGCCTCCCGAAGTGCTGGGATTACAGGCGTGAGCCACCACACCCGACCATGCTGGGCACAGTTCTAAATGCTGGGCACATGAGCTGCCCAAGTCTCTGCCCTTGGGGAGTTCAAGTTCTAGTCCAGGACGGAAAACAATAAACATGTGCACACACACATAGATCAGATCGCGGTATGAGCTGTGCAGAAAATAATACAGGGTGGTGTGATAAGGCTGACACTGAGGAAGTGATGTTTGAGCGGAGACCCAAATGACACCTTTGGAGATGTGGGAGACCCTAAACTGGTGTGTAGCCTTGTCGCTGTTAATAACGGCAATAACTTGAGGCCCAATGGTGAGTCAGAGAGCTCTAAATCATTGCCTATTGTTTGTGCAGTGTCACGTCTCAAAAGGCATTTCCCCAGTTGAGCTGTGGCTCCTGGTCAGTTTATTTTCTTGGGCCTGACTGCACATCCTCCCCACTCCCAGGTCCCCCGTGTTCTCAATGTTTTATAAAAATGTTATATGCAGGCAGTAAAGGACCGTTTTAACTGGACATCTTTTAAAGCTCCTCTTCTTCCCAAGAATCACGTTCACTCCAAAATTCTTTGGTACAGCCAGCAGAAATGACTGCCCCTGCCCTGCTCACTCGTTTATTCCGTGAAGGAACCCTGGCCCCTGTGCCACGCAGGGTTTGTGCCTTCTAAGGAAACAGCTGAACCTGCTGACCAGCATGAATCACCTGAGGCAGACAGAAGGAATAAAGCAGACTCATTAAATGGGAATTCATCCACTAGAACCTACTAGAACAAGGGTCTAGTGCTATTTCCCCAGCTTAGGGTACCATGTCCCCAGGACTCTTGGAGGTACATATTATGACCTTGGCGGGGGCCAAAACCCAGTTGGGTTCAGGCCTTTAAGTCTCAGTAGTGGTGCTCCTGGGGTAGGGAGCAGGCCACGGCAGCAATTCCAACCCCACGTAGGTCTCAGCTGAATGTGTGGCCAGGCTGGGGAGGTGCTGACTTTAGATTGTGTGTCTTGCATCTAAAACTCCCAGGGGGAGCAGTGTGTGCACCAAGGGTCACAGAACATAGATGGGGCTCTCACAGGAGCTGAGGTTACCATGGAGTTCTGGAAGATGCCACTCACTTCTCTGCTGGCCCAGGGTCTCTGTGAGAAGGTAGCCCTCCTGAGTCAGGGGTCTTCTCCACTGGAGACTGCAATGCTGGGGAGCAGAAGGGTGACCTCCTCTAGGCCGAAGGGCAGAAGAGTGGAGAAAGAGAGTGGGAGAGTAGGCAAGAAGGGAGGAGGTTAGGAGGCAGGAGAAGGGGGAAGCAGGACTCAGCCCAAAAGCCACCCAATCATAGGCCTTCTACGATGTGATGGTTAATTTTGTGTCAACCTGACTGGGCCATGGGGTGCCCAGATATTTGGTTAAACTATTTCCAAGTGTGTCTGTGTGTTTTTGGATGGGATTAACATTTGAACAGGTGGACTGAGTAAAGCAGATCTCATCTAATCCAATAAGGGCCTGAATACAACAAAAAGGTGGAGGAAGGAAGAATCCGCTGTTTTTCTACCTGACTGCTGAGCTGAGTCTTCTCCTGCCCTTGGCCGGGGACTACACCATCAGCTCTCCTGTCTCCAGCTCACCAACTGCAGATCATGGACTTCTCAGCCTCCATCATCTCCTGAGCCAATTCCTTACAATAAATCTCTTTGTCTGTCTGCTGTTGGTTCTGTTTCTCTGGAGAACCCTAACACACCCCACTGCCTCCGCTGGAGTGTCTTCTCCCAGTGACTCTCTGTCAACGGACCTCGTTTATTTCCTTCATGATACTTAACTCTACCTGCAATGGTAGTTTTGTTTCCCTGGTTTTGTGTGTGTGTGTGTGTGTTCTACCCAAAAGAATGTAAAGCACAAGAGAGCAGGGAACCTGTGTTTCCTATCCAATGCATAGCCACAGTGCCTGCACCAGTACCTGGCACTTAGCAAGCACTCAACAGCTATTTATGAGGGCAAAGATGGAAGGGAGCAATGGAGGAAAGAAACAGGAATATATGATAGGAAACAATACAGAAATGATTCTCAAAAATATCTCGAGAGTTGGTGTGAGCCCCTCATCCAAGTCTTAGCCCCCAGCCTCATCCAATGCTGCTAACACAAGCTATCTTGTATTAACGCACTGGGGCGTAAGACTTGTTTGTTTCGTATTGTCTGAACCAAAGTGCTGCATTCCACATCCTGGAAAACACTGCCTGTCATAGCCTGGGCACCAAAGCAATGTCGCATACACCCTAAGGGCCACTGATGGGAGTTTTTCAGAGGCTAAGTCCCAGTGTTTTGTTTTGTTTTGTTTGTTTTTTTAACCATTTGGTTGATCCAATGCAACATGCTGTGTGGAATACTGGCCTCCAGGCAAGTTTACCCAAAGATCTGGAGATGATGAGTCCAGAACTGTGCCAACATAGAGAGTAGCTGGGAAGGGACTCAGGAAGCGGGTGATGGAGAACCACCTGTCTGTACTTCAGAAGGAAAAATGATGCTGAGCAGAGAGACCATCACAACGGTACAAAGCAACTCATTCTTCCTCTACAAGTCGCTACTGCTTAGGATAAAGATCGGGGTTTGAGTTATGTCAACTCAAAGTTTTCCCAACAAGCTTACCAAAATTAACAACAGACACCCTCTGGCCAGTTCTTAGCTTCTTCATGGGTCCATTTCAGTCACTATAACAGAATACCAGAGATTGAGTGGCTTACAAACAACAGATATTTATTTCTCCCAGGTCTGGAGGCTGGAAGTCTGAGATCTGGGTGCCAGCATGGTTGGGTTCTGGTGAGGGCCTGCTTCTCGGTTCATGGGCGGTTGATTTCTTGCTGCATCCTCAAGTGTTGGAGGGGTGAAGGAGTTCTCTGGGGCCACCTTTCATGAGGGCACTAATCCCATCATTTGGGCCCCATCCTCATGACATCATCTAAACCAAATCACCTCCCCAAAGCCCCACCTCCAAATACCATCACATTGGGGATTAGGTTTCAACATATAAAATTTGGGGGGAAATAAACATTGTGTCTATTGCACACGAGTTTATTAGTTCTCAGTATAACATCCCAAGGTTGCTGAGGCCTATTATATAAAGATCAAAGTTCTCGCTCTTGTGGTGAATGACCCGAATTTGAATCTCCACTGTTTGAGCTGCTGTTTCTTGGAAGGAAGGCAGATGCTTCATGATCTCCCAGTACAGGTCAGAAAAAGAGTGGCACAAAATTGTCTTTGCCATTGAAAAGCTACCAGTCTTCATATCTAAAAGCTGAGGCTTTTAGTCATCAGCTATGAAGCCCGACTGGGTCATCCTCTCCCCCAACACACATCTCAATCTGAGAGGCAGGTTATGCTCCAGGAATAATTCCCTCCATCCTTCCTGGGCTTCTCTGCTCTGTTGATTCTAAACTCTGAGATTGGTGGTCCCAGCAGGTGTACCCAGGGGCCAAGACACGGAACAGGCTCTGTTCCGTTCACGGACAGTAGCCAGTGCTTTTCCATTTGCAGCATTTCCCTCTCTTCTTGGAGAGAGCTTCTGGTTTGGTGCTGGAGAGTAAGAAGCGGGAGGGAGGAGGTGGCTCACTCATCCTCGTCCTCGTCTTCATCCTCTGCATCTTTGTTGGGTGCACACCTCTGGAAGCACTGCACCACGGTGGCCAGGAAGAAGCTGGAGATGATGGCCGCAATGGACACAGCCACGCCGGAGAAGATGATGATGAAGAGGTCTGTGAGCGACAGGCTGAACCTACACTCGCTGAAGCTGGCCTCCGACAGCTCGCGCAGGGATATCCTCCTGCTCTCCATGGGCAGGGAGCACTGGATTTCATCAAGGCCTGAGAAAAGGCAGGCAGAGGAGAGAGGGGTTTAGACTGCAGCTCAAGGTTGCCTAAAAGTTGACAAGGCAGGTGCTTACAAAGCTAGCAATATGCAAGCATCCTCCCAAAAATAAAGGCGGGAAAAAGACTAATTTAAATGGAATTTAAACTATAAAAAAAAAGCCTTAGAGTGATCACCATGGGAAAAACTGGAACGTGCTGGTCTTCACTGACCTATTTTCAGGGTTTTTTTTTTTTTTTTTTTTTTTGAGACGGAGTCTGGCTCTGTCGCCCAGGCCGGAGTGCGGTGGCGCGCTCTCGCCTCACTGCAAGCTCTGCCTCCCGGGTTCACGCCATTCTCCCGTCTCAGCCTCCGGAGTAGCTGGGACTACAGGCACCTGCCGGCACGACCGGCTAATTTTTGGTATTTTTCGTAGAGACAGAGTTTTACCATATTCGCCAGGATGGTCTCAATCTCCTGACCTTGTGATCTGCCCGCCTTGGCCTCCCAAAGTTCTGGGATTACAGGTGTGAGCCACCGTGCCCGGCCTCTTTCTGTTTTGTTTTGTTTTGCTTTGTTTTGTTTTTATGAGATGGAGTCTCTGTTGCCCAGGCCGGAGTGCAATGGCATGATCTCGGTTCACCTCAACCTCCACCTCCTCGGTTCAAGTGATTCTCCTGCCTCAGCCTCCCGAGTAGCTGGGATTACAGGCGTGCACCACCACACCTAATTTTAGTATTTTTAGTAAAGACAGCGTTTCACCATGTTGGCCAGGCTGGTCTTGAACTCCTGACCTCAGGTGATCCACCCACCTCGGCCTCCGAAAGTGCTGGAATTACAGGCCTGAGCCACCGTGCCCAGCCAGGTTTAGTACTCTTTTGATTTTGAATTACTCAGTGCGGGGATGGAAGGGCACCATTATCTGTTTCAGGTTTAGGACCTCTGTAGACCCTAATCCAGACCCGGCTAGTAGCAGCGAGTGGAGGTTGGGGCAGATACCGTGGGATGGGTCAGTGCCAATTAGTGGATGGACCCTCCACTTGGTAGTGCTATTTTCCAAGTTAGATACTGTCCTCCTTTTCACTGTCCTCTGAGTGGAAGTGAAAGGAGAGTTAGCATGGCATTGTGGGAACCCCACAACCCTGAAAGGATTTTCCCTTGACAGGGGTGGAGAACATAAGGATGTATCTGAAGGTGGCCTTCAAATAGTACTTGGTACTTGGAAGCTTGGAGGAAGCTTCCATGTGCTTAGGAGTCACCTAAAGACTGTTAAAATGCAGGTTCCGAGGCACCACCCATGGGGAATCTGATTCAGTAGGTCTGGGGTGGGGCCCCAAACTCTGTATGTTTAATAAGCATTTTTAATAACCAGGTGTTTCTGATGCTGTGTGAATCCTGAGGCCCACTTCAAGAAGCATTATTTTCTAGTTGTCAAGAGGAGATGGGAAGGGATTTGAGAACTTCTAGGACACTCACTTCCACTAGGACCAGAGAAGCCCTTTTTTTTTTTTTTAATTTATGTACTCATTTATTTTTGAGACAGAGTCTCGCTCTGTTGCTCAGGCTGGAGTGCAGTGGCACGATCAGGGCTCACCACAACCTCCACCTCCTGGGTTCAAGTGATTCTTGTGCCTCAGCCTCCCGAGTAGCTGGGATCACAGGTGTGCGCCACCACACCCAGCTAATTTTTGTATTGTTAGTAGAGATGAAGTTTCACCGTGTTGGCCAGGCTGGTCTCAAACTCCTGGCCTCAAGTGATCTGCCCACCTCGGCCTCCCAAAGTGCTGGAATGACAGGTGTGAGCCACCGCACCTGGCCTCAGAGGAGCCCTTCAAAACTGTGTTTTGTATGTTAGGATTGTCTTCCCAATTTCACTTGAAGAGTGTTTGACTAATTCATGAAGACGTTTCAAACCCTCCAGCCTAGAAAAAGACCACAAGTGAGTATGTGCTGAGCGAGAACTTTATAATTACTAACATATACACGCTACGCAGACCTTACCACAGGCCGGGCACTGCTCTAAGCATCTGGCTATATCGATTCATTTAATCCTTCCAACCACTCCATGGGGGTATGTTCCATTATCATCCCCATTTTACAGACGGGGGACAGGCTCAGAGTGGGAATGTAACTTGCCCAAAGCTGTACAGCTAGTAAGTGGCTGAGCCTGGATTACAAGTCAAGCAATCTGTCTCCAGAGACCTGGCCTGTAGCCACTATGTCTCCAAAAGGAAGAGAAAGGAGAAGAAAGCCAAGAAGAGAAGCGCCAGGGATGCAGGTGATGCAGACACAGGAAAGTGATGCTTTCTTGCCATGGCTGCTATCACATGACAGTGACAGAAGCTGCCAGTCAGCTGGTGGTGTCCCAGCATAATGGGCTTATAACATTTTAGAGACACCTCCCGAGGACGGTTCCCTTATCACTAAACTACCGCTTTTAGGGAATCCCACCGGCCACCACGTGCGGTAGAAGGCAGCTTTGAGAATGACAGACAGGTGGATTCTGTACCCTTCATCTACTCATATGAATCAAAAGGGAGACCTGCCTGAGAGGTGAGAAACTGGGCACCATGAGAGGTGGCTCTCCATATGCTCATTTATTCATTTAATAAGATGTACTGGCTGGGCGTGGAGGCTCATGCCTGTAATCTCAGCACTTTGGGAGGCCGAGGTGGATGGATCACTTAAGGTCAGGAGTTCGGGACCAGCCTGGCCAACGTGGTGAAACCCTGTTTCTACTAAAAAATACAAAAATTAGCTAGGCATGGTGGTGTGTGGCTCTAATTCCAGCTACTCAGGAGGCTGAGGGACGAGAATCACTTGAACCTGGGAGGCGGAGGTTGCAGTGAGCTGAGATCGCGCCACTGCACTCCAGCCTGGGTGACAGAGTGAGACTCCATCTCAAAAAAAAAAGAAGTATTGAAGATGGGGTTTCACCATGTTGCCCAGGCTTGAACTTGTACTTTTCCTGGGCCAAGGGGTTGGTGATATACAAGGCAACTAAGTCCTCTACCCTCAGAGAGTGTAAATTCTAGTTCAACAAGATAGACATTGATTTATGCCGCCGATGTTTTTGAGTATTTGCCATGTACTAGGTCCTGGGGATACAGCAGGAAACAAAACAAAGCCTTCATGCAGCTTACATTTTAGACAATAAATGAATAGTTCAAGACATATGTAAAATGTGTAGGATGAAACAGCAGAGGAGAATGATAAAGTCTGGGACAAATAATTGTCTTTAGAAGGGATGGTCAGGAGGTATTATTTCAGTTAAGGGTGAAAGGATGAGATGAACCAGCCATGAGAAGAACACTCTAGGCAGAGACAAGAAGCTGGGAAAGAGGCCGGGTGTGGTGGCTCATGTCTACAATCCCAGCACTCTGGGAGGCCAAGATGAGAGATTCACTTGAGCTCAGGAGTTCCAGACCAGCCTGGGCAACACAGCAAGACCCTGTCTCCACAAAAAAATTTAAAATTTAGCCAGGTGTGGTGGTACACACCTGTAGTTCAAGCTACTCAGGAGGCTGAGGCAGGAGGATCATTTGAGCCTGGAAGACTGAGGCTATGATCACGCCACTGCACTCTAGCCCAGACAACACAGTGAGACTCTGTGTCAAAAAAAAAAAAAAAAAAAAAATGTTAGGAAAGAGCTCAGCATTTGGGGAACACAATGTAGCCAGGGGTAGCTTAGTGAACATAGGATAATTTAGCATTAGCTTAGGTGAGAAACACAGCATGTGTTGAGATGAAGCCCCTGATGGTTAAGGTCTCTGAATAAATATTATGAACAGAGCACCCTTCCCCATCCCCATTACCAGCCCTCCTTGGACATGAACCAAAGAAATAGCTTATGTGGTACAGAGCTGCTGAAGACCGTTTGTTACCAAGCATAATCATCCTGACTGATACACAATACAAGCTATGTTCAAATTCAAATGATGACCATGATTTTACAAACCTCAGTAATAAGAGAATGAATGGTATTAGAATGCATAAAGAGCTCAGATCTTTTGTTTCTGATCTGGAAGAGGAGAGAAAAATAAAGTAGTAGTAACTAATGGTCATGTTGCACTTACTATGTGCAGATCTTGTTCTAATCGCTACACACGTTTTTACTCACAACAATCTTATGAGGTTAAGTACTGTTATTATGCCCATTTCATGAATGAGAAAACTGAGAGCATTTGCATAGCTTGACTTTAGCAATACAGCTTCACAGTGATGAAGCCAGGATTTGAACTCAGCCATTTGGCTGTGGAAGCTTACTCTTATCCTTTGATTAACAAGGTGCCCTTTTCCCAGTGAGAATAGCCAGAGAGATGCAAGGACGCCATGTTGACATGAAGCTCAACTGCCTTCAGCCACTGCGTGCCTCTGGCTTCGTTCAACTCTCAGGAAAACCTTCACCTACTCTCTTTTTTAGTGCTTCCAGGTTTCAAAAAGCTGACCCTTAACCCATTTCCAGCATCATGTGAAAATTGAAATGATGTCTTCACACCTCGCTAATTAGCAGGCTTCTGTCCTGCAAAAAGCAACCCTGCTAATTACACAGCAAGCCTGCAACCACCCTGGGGGGTTTTGTGTGTCTTTTCTTCTCCATCTCAGAAACTGAAGATGGAGGAATAGTGTCTGAGCATCCTCCTTCCTTCTGTCCTGTGCCATCTTTTATGTAGTCTACAGCCAACCCATCGATGCTTCTGTCCCATGGGAACCATTGCCTAGCAACAAGACTCTGCCATTCCCTTCTTTGCTGGAATCAGTATCTGCTTTATATACCCAAGGAATTAGCTGGACCAGAGCTCTGCAGGCCTCCTCAATTTACACTTGATTACTGTTTTTGACTGGTTCTTTTTCTTAAAGAGGCCAAACTTCTGCCTACTTCTGAGAATTTTAAATGTATTTGAATAAAACAGGAGAGATTTATCTTTTCAAAAATAAAAATAAAAACAGGAGCACTTTAAAACAAAGTTATACTGGGCTTTTTTTTTTTTTTTTTTGCAGACACTGATGTCTTCAA